CGGTTCACGAGGAACACGCAAGGCGCCCGGGGGCCGGCCATATCTGACTGCAGGATGGTCGGCGAGGGGGCGGCCTTGGAACTCTGATATGGGTATGGATTCTGCCAGCATTGTGGAATTTCCGAAACGTTTGGGTAGTAGATGCATATCAAGCTCGGGGTCGAAGTCGCTTGGTGTCAAGGGATGTGTCTTGGGGTCTTGTTTTTGAACCATCTTGTCCGGTTGTGGGGGGTCGAAACCGTAGAGAGCAAATCGCCTAAACATGCATCCAGTCCCCACGTAAACTGGGCCCTGCATAGTTTTTAACATGATTGTATTAATATGAAGTTTCAATTAAAATTTCAAAACAAGACCAAAACAAAATTTATTGATCAGACTTAAAATAGTATTTGGAAAATGGAGAAAAAGCTAAGAAGTACCTGAACACCATCAAGGGCACGCATGTTTCCATCAAAGAAGACAGTATTGTGATTAGCATAACGATCGGAGGGATCAATGCCTTCAAATCTTTGGGGGAATTGAATGTAGCAAATGTTTTCTCCACCCCGGTCCATCATGAAGCACATTCCTTCTCGAATGGCTTTGCAGTTGTAGATGTAGTGGTCACAGTCAAGGTTGAGAATGAAGGGGCCATTCGACAAAATAGCCGATGCCCGTACCAATGCATTCATGGCACCCGCTTTTTTATTGTGATCGTAGCCCGGTCGCTTTTCACGAGATACATACACAAACATTGGCAAGCGTATATCAACATCAGTAAAGTCCATGATCTTATCATCTGCACCTCCCATTAGTGGATCACTACTAGGATGCTTCAACATCACCTGTCCATTGTGCATTGTTTTTCCATCATTAGAGACGATTTTAAAGCATAGTTAGAATTTGAAATTAACTTGAGACAAGTTTATTAGCTATATGCATACAAGTTTTCATAATTTTTAATTTTCTTAGTAATACCTGAAGAATTCCTGCGTGGTCACCCTTGGCATGCTCACTAGCAGGGACGGCCCAAGTACCGGGCCAATGAGTGCCATCAGCCATCCATGTTGCCTTTGGGACCTTTGGTGCATCCAAAGGATCTGTTCCACTCTCCTTCAAATGCTTTAACATTTTCATATCTTCCCTTGCGTTGAAAGCATCTGACCTTCTCCTAATTGAGTCCGGAAGCCCATTGATCCTAACTTTAAACTCATCATACTCCCTTTTGATCTTCCTCCTATCTTTCACAAAGTCTGGTCTACTTTTGTTCTTTGTCGGGTCGACTTTTAAGCTGAAGTAGCTTTCAGGATTCCTTGGTTCAATGTTATGCTTTCGACAAAATGGAACCCATAAATCCGCAAAGCTTGCAGCTTCAGCCATTGCCTCAAAAGTAAGAAGGGCACCACCATCATCAGAGACATAACACGCTAACTTTTCCACCGGATAATCGACGGCTAGAATTGAGAGTATAGTGTTGGCAGTGACAAGAGGTGGCTCTTTCTCTGGATCGGCGGTGGACACAAAAAGATCAACACCTGGTAAATCAGAGTGGCCAGTGGGATTGGACGGAGATGGCATATCAAATTTATCGCGGAGAACCTCAAGATCTGTGGAGCGATTTACAGGGTGGAGCTTAGGAATTTGGTCAAGTAGCCAAGAAAAAGCAAACCATAACTCACACACCACTGACATGAGCCACAACCACACTGCATCTTCATTTGGATGTACAACTCTCCAATGCAAGAAGAAACATAACGCCACAAACCGAACAGCAACCAACAACCTGGGAAATCATAAATTCTTTTATATATCGCGTTTCAGAATACAATAAAATTGGTTAAAAAGTGACGAGTTCAATACTAACCTGTAAGGGCTAATGATAGCTGCTGGGATTGGTGTTTTCCGGCTTAGAGGCTTCCAAGGCTTATCAGTTGATTCCAACATGCCTCCACGAAAACCATCATCTTCATCATCGCCATACATATTGTCATGAGGCCAATAAGCATTTCCAATGCCGTACGTGCCTTGGGTCTCAAACAACCACCTATTGTGATCAAATTCTCCGGTTTGGTTCCTTTTCATCATAGACATGTTATTTCGGTCTCTTTTCGAGCTATCTGGGGCTGGCAACTGCAGTTTTCCGCTCGAATAGTCTTGCCCATCTTCATCATAATCTCCTACTCTATATGGTTCCTTGCAACCAGGACAGAGACCAGTCTCCTTTTGGGCATCTAGGTAACAATCCCTGCATATGGTGAACCTGCAAAACACGCATCAACTTTCATTCACAACCAGCTTACGCGACTTTTGGCTTGAGGAGTTTCTTTCTTTCATTTCTTATAAAAATATTTTTTCCCCCCTTATTAGTATACCTTCTATTGTGTAGTTATCTCGTATTTGCATTGTAATCACATTTTTCTTTCTTTTTTTTTTCTCAAGTAATTTGTATAATTTGTTTGTTTTTTTAATGTTTTTCGTTAAATACGTGGTAATTCTATATATAAACCATCCGGCTAGTTACGAGTTTTTCTTTTGTTTGTTTAAGATGAAATCAAAAACTTGAAAATATAATAGCAAGAAAATACGAATGAAAACTGAAGAAAAACATATATATATATATATATAATATTATACCTGCAAGCACAAGGGGTTACGTCGACGCCTCTCTCATCCTTCATGACCTTTCCATCACAAGCAGGCATTGAACAAGCGGACCCTTTGGCTCCAGCCATCTGCGGATGACTGACGTCGGAATCAATCACTTTGTCCATAAGATGTGCTCGTGTTACGCTGTTGAATCCCCCGGTGAAGAGCGAATTCGAAACGTATTGCTCTTCGGCCTTGACGGCCACGGACGAGTCCATTGGCTGATTATCAGGCGTTGGAGGAATGTGAACCGTGTAGTTCATGTAGTCCCCTGATAGCTCTCCGGACATGTCAAGGTCTTCTCTTGAAAGGCTAACGTACCGCCCGCTCGATGTTCGTCGTGCGAATTTCACGGTTTGCCCGCTTGAACTCCGACTCGCCGCTGAGTTAGTAGACCCTCCTCCGGTGCTACGAATGGCCTTCTTTGAAGGCTGGCTGGACAGAGATGCCATTCTCTATCTCTTAACATATATATAAATATATATATATATATATATTAAGTTTCTATGACAATGCGATGCACAACACTTTTATGGAAATATATGTTAAAATGATCAGAACGTATTGTTCACAGTAAAATGCAATTTCTCAAATACGATATTTTGTATAGAAAAAAATACCCAGATGAGAAAACTGACATGATTATTATTATGACTAGATTGTATTGTAAAAAAAGAGGTTGTCCCGAATGATATGGTAAGGCCATTAAGGAACAGCCTAAAGGCTCCTTAAGTCAAGCCCACCCTATTATAAGTAAATTCTTTAACTAATTTCTTTTGCACCTCAAGGCCACCTTATTAGTAGGAAACGCTTTAACTAATTGCCTTTACACCTCAAAATATTCAAATCGTGACACAAATACACTAACCAACGCACTAATGACTCCCACAGGGAAAAAAAAAAAAAAAAAAACCCCAAGAGGAAGCCAAACCAAAACCGGCCAATATAAAAACGTTTTCCAGCCACCGTAGATCGTCGCCGGAAAAAATGGAGCTCTTGGACGACAACGCCAGAATTCCTCTTCCAATCCTGACCAGCAACCGCAGACCCATAAGCTTATTTTTGCTGGGTTTTCTGAGAGGGGTCATCTGAAGAAATGAAATGGAGATCATAGGGGGAAGAGAGAGATCAGGGAGGGAGTAACGTAGCTCAGTGAATTGAGCCATCACAACGTTTTCTTTTTCCTCGTTTATCTTCTACAAAAACATAAAACCCATTTAGGTTTTCTGAAATCAAATTGGAAACTTTGTCGGGCTTTCTGGGTTTTCTCAGAAGCGAGAGATCAGGGAGGGGGAGAGAGAAGAGTGGGGCTTGTTATTATTGTTATTATTAGTTGTTAATTCTCAAGTTGGAGTAAAATAAAAAGAGCATTCATACCCTTAATCAAAAGCTCATAGCAAGGCACAAGCAAAAATTTGTCTAAAACCGTTTAAAATTTGACGAATGTTACTAAAAGGACTGTCAACGCAATGAAATTTAAAGTTTAAGGAGTTTATTACAAAAATTTTTAATTTGAAGATCAATCCGCTAAATACGAAAAGTTCAGGAGGTCTCATGTAAAAAAATTAAATATTTATTTACATTAAAAAAATCATTTATAAAAAAGAAAATTTACTAACTGTAAATGGCCATTTACTAATTACTATTTATTTCAAATAATTTTAAATTTTATTATTTAATTAATTTAGTTTCACAAATATATTTTTACTACATTTCCGCACTACAAATATGCTGAATCTTCATCGTACTATATCCCGTTTAACCTCAAACCTCATTTTGCTAAGTTTTATACGATTCTCCTCTCAAATTCAACGTAGAAAGCATTATTATTATTATTATTTTTTTTTTACGTTTTACGTTTTTTAAAGTTGCAGGTGCAAAATGGGCATTCGCATAGCAAGGTGCAGGGAGAAGTTGGTAAATATGGTTGTAATCCTGAAACTGGCGGTTGTAATATGAAAGCGTTTGAATATGATAACCTGTAACAGATGCGTTTACAACTGAAATACACAATATATTACCAATGCAACATGATTGTCGTTTTATTTGCATTATGGGTAAGAAACGACATCTAAATTAATAGGATATTAAAATGAGTTTGTAAAGGATTTGCCTTTCTAATATATATATATATATATATTTTGCTATTTCAACTTAACTTAGGCTATGTTTGGTAGAGGGATTGATTCGAATTATGATTCGTGGTTCGCTATAGTATTTTCTCTCACAAAAAATTAACGTAAATCGAAAATGGTTCGAATCACATAATTTGAATCCTTCAACCAAACGTCCCTTTATTGTTTAGGAAAATAAATCATTTGGGGGGCATTTGGTAGAGGGATTCGTTCCCTTATTCAAATCATGATTCGTGGTTCGCTACAGTATTTTCTCTCACAAAAAATACACGTAAATCGAAAATAGTTCGAATCACATGGTTTGAATCCTCCAACCAAACAAACCCTTGATGTGAAGTTCAAAATTAGATTGTCTGAAATATTGAAGATATGTGAATAAAGTATTAAATTGAGTCATTGAACCAAATGTTAGAGCTTGAATGTTATGCATTAGGTTGAGATAAATGGCCTGTGTAAGTACCTTTGGATGTGATGTGCTTTTCTTGCAAGTTGCCCTATTATGGCCGAGTTGATTGCAATTACGACATTTTTTTTTATGTGATGTCATTTCCTTGTTATCCCCTTGACTTTTAGATAGAGGTGTCAAATGGGCCGGGCCGTTCATGGACGGCCCGGCCCAGCCCGTAATAGTGTCAGATTTGGCACGACCCGGTTTATTACTGTTATGGGCCGCGCCGGCCCGACACGTGTAGTGGGCTAGGGTTGGGCCTCAGCTTCTCAGCCCGCGGTCCAAGCACGTGGAGGCCCACGACACGGCCCTTGTTTGGCACGGCCCAATCCCTGATTCGGCCCGGCCCAAGCCCGTGAAACAACCTATTTCAATTGGTCCAGGGGGCCCTTCATGGAGCCAACGGGCGGCACGTGACGGGCCTCCCGTTTGGCCCGTCACATGCCTCCTGTTTGGCACGTGACGGGCCAAACAAGAGACCCGTCACGTGCCGTACGTTGGGCCCACGAAGGGCCCAACGGCTAGAATCTGGAATTTTACCCTAAAATCTCCTATAAATACCCCTTAATTCCACCATAAATCCCACACAATAATTCACTCTCAACTTCTCATCTCACTCTAATTCTATCTCTCAACTTGTCTTTTTGATTTTGATTCTATGCTTTTTTCTCACGTTCATTCATTTTCTTGCTTTTTCATTTACAAAGTTCAATCAAGTTCTATCAATTTTCAGAAAATTGCCGCACCAAACTTTCCTGATTTTACTGCAATTCCTGAGCTTGGTGATGAGGCATTTTTTGAGGAAGAAATGATGCCTCCCCACCCCACCCCCACTGAACCAGAAAATGTTCCGGCAGATAATGTTTCAGTGCACAACGAGGAAGCTGGAGAACGCAACAGGGGAAAAAGACAGCGAACTTCTCTGTTATGGCAGGATTTCACCGAGGAGCCCCGACCAAATCTAAAAACAGGTGAGATGGAAATTCGTGCGGTATGTAAATATTGTTAAAAATACTTTTTCTAATAAAAATGGTGGGGATACTGGTCATCTGGATAGATATTAGAAAGTATGTCTACCGTTGCACCAAGGTGGGAGTGTGGACTCTTACCAACAAACACTATCACTCACATCACAGGGGTTACAAAATTTTACATATGATGCACAACGTGCTCGTGAGGCAGTAGTTAAATTTCTAGCTAGTGCCGAATTGCCTCTTTCTTTTACAGATGATGCCTCGTTCGAAGAATTCATCCAGACAGCCTTTTGCTCACAATTTAAACGGTAAGTAGAAACACAACTCGTTTTGATTGCATGAAAGTTTTTTATGCAATGAGACAATCTCTTGTTCATAATTTTTAGACTTTTAATGCTATTGTCTCTTGCACTTCTGATCTGTAGGAGTGGTGCAATAAAACTGGATATTTATGTGTCACAGCGCACTACGTTGATGACGATTGGGTTTTACAAAAAAGAATAATTGGTTTTCGTTTATATCCATATCCTCATAACGCATCATTTATTTTTAGTACAATAATAGAAATTTTTGGATTTTATGGGATAGAAGATAAAGTTTTAATAATTACTTTTGATAATGCGTCAGCTAATACAGCTGCAATTAATCTGTTTAAACGTAATTTGAAACCATCATTTGGAAGGGAATTTTTTCATCAACGGTGTGCATGTCACATAATTAATTTAGTAGTTCAGGCAGGAATTGAACATATCTCAACTAATCTTACAAATATTAGAGAATCATTATCATTCATATCTAGTTCTGGAGCTCGGCTCCAAGAATTCAAACAATATTACAGGAACAGTCATATGCGGCCAATAAAGTTTCCAACTGACGTGAGACACAAGTGGAATTCAACATATTTAATGTTGAAGGCAGCACTCCCGTATTCACAGCTTACCACGACATACGTAAACAGTAAGAACGATCAAATTTTAATTTTTGATCCTGATTGACAGATTGCTAAGTATTTTTTTAAATTTCTATAAGTTTTTTACAATGCTACTGAATTACTTTATGGAGTTTATTATCCTACTGCACATTTAGCTTTACATCAACTATTTAATATTTCAGAAATATTTTCTTATTATAGGGATACATAACTTTTTGGAAATATATTTAAGTTAATGGAAAAGAAATTTAAAAGTTATTGGTCAAGTTGTCATATGTTGTCCTATGTTATATGCATTGGCAACCATTTTAGATTCTAGGTGCGGAGTAGATGGAACCGAATAATTGATGACTGCTACCGCAGAGAATTTATAAATAGATATGCAACTAAGTATTACTGACGCTAAGAAAATATTAGAAAAGATTTTTAGTTTGTATGAAGTAAAATACATCACAGGTCAAAAAGAACAGGAAACTTCGTCGTCAACTACCAGTTCGGGGCCTAAAGGATCGTCGTGGAGTTTCTTGAAGAAAAAAGAGAAAACGGCAGGATTGTCCTCAACACAAGCGTCTACGGAACTAGTAAAATATTTTGAAGTAAATTTTGTAATCGATGACGACAAACTAGACATCTTATAGTGGTGGAAGAGTAAGACCGATCGTTTTCCGACACTGTCCATAATAGCTCGTGACATTTTGACGACTCCAGTGTCAACGGTAGCATCGGAGCAAGCTTTTAGCGCAAGCAACCAAATTCTTGACGAGAAAAGAAGCAAAATGCATCCATATATCTTGGAGGGGCTGATGTGCGTTAAAGACTAGGAAGATGCCAGAAGACGAAAACAACAATACACAGATGATTTGATGTAAGAATATTTTTCTAACTTAGAAATAATAGAATCTTCTGGAAGCACTTAGGTTTGTAATTTACTATTCCTAGCTACTGCACTCTTTTTTCCTTTGCTAAGGTTTTGTTTCGATCTCCCCACGGGTTTTACTTTGCAAGATTTTTAACGAGACAGTCATTTATGTGTATTCATATTACGTCAATTCAATAAAATCACATCTTTTGGGGCATATGATATATATTTTTAATTAAATTTAAAAAAAAATATAAGGGCCGGGACCGGCCCGTGAAGGGCTTGGGCCTAGGCCCGGCCCTGGCCCTTATGGACTAGGGCCAAGGGTCTTGACTGGGCTTGAGTTTTTATTCTCAGGCTTGGCCCATGCACGGCCCTGCACTGTGCAGGGCCGTGCCAGGCACGGCCCAGGCCCTTAATGGGCCTGGTGTCAAGCGTGTCGTGCCGGCCCAACACAGCACGTTGGACAACTCTACTTTTAGACTGATTGGTAACTTTCTCCCTTCCTTTTGTTTTCACAATTCTTGGGTCTCGGATTATGTTGTGGGCATCAGCGACATCATGATACTCGTTCAGGATGGTGCGTTTGGTTGATAAATTCGTGTCATGATTCGAATTATGATTCGTAGTTTGTTATAATATTTTTTTTATAAAAAATACACGTAAATTAAAAATAATTCTAAATCATGATTCTGAATCTATAAACTAAACTTCCACTTTATTGATTTCTTGATCAGGCAATAGTCCTTTACCCACCTTCTTGTTGGTTGCAAAGTTCCTTAAACGTCAATGTCAATCTAGCTATTTCGTTTTTTGTTTCAGCGTGTGTTGAAATCCGATTCCAGTGTTCCTAAGCGTGCAACCTCAACTACATTTTCTGGTAAACACAGTAATGTGTTGGGAAGTTTATATTGGAGACAATCTTTGCATCCTTTTATTCCCTTGGTATCAATAATAATTCTGGAAAGTTTTCAATGCTCAAATACTTCCATGACACAAAAATATGACGACATGGAATTCTATTTGTTTCGAAGAGCATACACCCACAACTGAATTCATTTTGATAACTGAACTTGGTGATATTTCTCTGTACCTAAACTTAGATAGGTGAAAGACTCTTCAATCCCCCACCTGATTAATAATCTTTTAATTAATATAGTTACTTAACGTAAAGTGTGGTATTAAGACTGTTAATAACAAATAAAGAATAAAAATTTAAATTCATGCATCATCTAATAGTAAGTTCAACAATTTTTTCTTATTTATTTTACATTAACTTGCTCTCTTACTTTTTAAAAGATAATTCACAAATTGAAACAAAATCAATATTTTATAGTGTATTTATGAAATTATATTTGTTCATGAATGACCCGTTTATTTTATTGATTCGAGTTGAGATGTGATTTTATGTGAATTTTTTTTTATCGTAGTAAAAAGATTAAATGTGATTGTTTATAAAATTTTTTTACTGTAATTTTACTGTAGTAAAATTTAAATTAGTGAAATAAATAAATCAAAATGTTTGAATGAATATATAATTCAAAGGATAAAAATTAAAATTAACTTCAAAGATGAAAGGATACGGTCAAATAGGGCAGATAGTCCGTGGTATATTTATGAAATTAATTTAGAAAATTTTTTTAATAATAAATTAATGCAAATTATAATCCTCATACTGCGGCCACGGGTTAGAAGGTTTCCCTCTTCC